ACGTTAGCAGGTGAAGCACAAGCATCCTCATCCATAACAACAGACTGCTCTTAATACTCCTATATTTCTGTGATTGTATGTAATGATCACAGAAATATATGTAACAACATAGTTAGACATTAGATAAACAGTTTATTTTGACTTTTCTAGATGTGTGTAATGTGGTTTCCAGATTTGTCCAACAAAAGGACATAATGACTGAGACTGCTGTAGCATTTAAAGATTCCCATTCAGTGCTGGGTTTCAAATGTTAATAAAATTGTTAATAAAATCAATGTTTCTGCAACTGTGCAGTTTACTGGGCACAAAAATGAAAAATAACTGCAATCTCAGCCTCTTGATGTACACCATAATATTAATGTAATGTCTAAGTATCTTCTCTCTCCGGCATCCTATATTTGAATGAGATACATTGATGCTCTGGGAGACTTGTTCTCCTATTACAATCAACATACAAAATATGCCCTACTTCTATACCAAGCTGTTTTAGTATTGTTATAGCATTTAAAAGATATTTCTTTTCCCCTTTTATTAGACCTTATGATATTTAGAACAAATACAATGAGTTAAGCCTTAAGTTATTCTTTAACCCCAATTACAAAAATTTTGTGACTCTGTAAACTATAAAAAAAAAAAGAGTGGGCAACAATAGGAAAAAAAAATATGGGAACTGAAGACACCAGCTGCTGAACTTTTGGGAGAGAAATGTTGTCCCATTCTGATGTGAAACAGTATGAACGGCATGAGGCTACAAGATCTGGACTGCAGGAAGACCATTTAGCACCTGGACTCTTCCACTACAAAGCCATGCTGTTGTACTGTAACAGATGCAGTTGGCAGTTTAGCAATGAACTGCCGAAAAATGCAAGGACTTCCCCGAGAAAGACATTGTCTACATGGGAGCATATGTTCCTATAAAACCCATACGTACTTTACAGGATTAATGGTGTCTTTTCAAATGTGCAATAAATACAATATAATTATGCCTGTTTTAATGCCATGCCACCCGATGGTCTGAAAATCACAGGAATTCAGTACTGATTTCTGGCCTAATTTCTTGCACACAGAGATTTCTCGAGATCTGTGGAGAAATCCATAGATATTTCTTTTAGATGATAACATGAATGACATATTAAAAAAGGTGTGAATTTTTATACTGAGCAATATTATTCTGAAATTATTCCATAACTTGACATGCAGTTTTTTGTAGATTGGTGAACCTTTGTCCATCTTTATTTCTGAAACACTCTGCCTTTCAGTGGTATTTAATGTTTTCCAACCCACATATAGAAATGTTTATCACCAAGAGTAAAAGAAAGCTTTGGGCTGAATTTAAACAAACAAGCTTAGCACTATTTTTTGCTTCCATTCATAAATCCTATTCATGCATTCAACGCATCACTTCATGGTGTAAGTTAAACAGCATTTACTATATTTAAAAAATAAATAAATAAGTAAGTAATAAGTAACACGCAGCAGCTACACCAGCAAGGATCCCAACAGTGAATCATCGGCCTTCATCTCATTAATAACATCCTCTTCTGTCACACAAACTCTCTCCATGTCCTCCATCGCAGCATCCATAAATCTTCCATGTGCTCTTTTCTTCCTTCGACTCCATCTTCTCCATCCTTGCATGAATGTGAAACTTTGATATGTTAATAACACAAATAACTACTTTCAGCTGGTGCCTTATTTTCTAAGGGGTCGCCACAGCAGGTGAATTTACACGTTTGATTTGGCACAGATTTTACTCCGGATGCCTCTTCTGATGCAACCCTCTGATTTACCTGGGCTTGGGATCAGCACTAGGAGTACACAAGCTTTTGACCCGTTCTCCTCCTGCTCTCAAACCAGGGATCTTTTTCATGTTAGGCAAATGTATTATTAGAGGTGGAGGCTTCAATATAGAGTATCTTAATCTGTCATTCTTGCAATACAATTACACTAAACAGTAGGAGTGCTCCCTGCCAGTTCAGCCTATTTTTAATCCATGTTTTTTGCTTTGTTGTCCGTGCCTTCAGACCCCACGTGAGAGTCTGAGAACCACTGCTTTAAATGGATATACTGTTTGCCAAAGCTCACAGGATTTTCTACTGAAGAAGCTGATTGTATGAAAGGGCTGCGATTGTTTATCTTCATCGGCACAATGAAATTCAGCACATATCGTGGGATGTGTTTGGGTACATTTAAGCACTGAACCTACAATAAAACCACCATACACTTCCCTTCATAAAACCTCCCAGATGGTTTAATCCTTCAGTATTTTGTGCTTTGAAGTGTTTGAGAATTTCCTGAGATTATTTTATACACGACATATGGGGAATTATTTCTGGAGCAGCAGTTATAATAATATGCTGGTATAGCTTAAAATTACATAACAGATGGTGTGCATCACTGCAAGTGAGTTTTATGTAAATGTGATGACTAATGTGTTCAAGTTGTGCCTGCATGTGAAATGAGGTGGTGAAACACAGTGGCCCTTCTATGTCTCAGTCTCTGATGTGGATATTTTTTAGAAGCAACTTCTAACAAATGGGATTGTTAAGAGCAGATTTAGGTGGATAAGTACGGCAGGATTAGCAAAGGCCATTTCTGTTCAGAGTCACAAATTAAGTCACAATTACTAGGCTAAAATTAGATTATGAAATGCAGAACGGTAATTATAGGATTCTATGTAGTAAGTAAACAGTAACTAGAAAGTAAATAAACAATATCTCTATTTTAATTAATAAAACCATTATTTAAAATATCCTCGCTGTGTTCACAATTCTTTATAAAAATGAATATTACTAATTACCATGCACTCATTTGATCAATTCTGACATTGTCTCTGTCTCTCTTTCAGATATAAAAGCAAATCCACAAAGACAGATCCGGCTTATCCATCCATTTGCTTCCCTTTATCCAGTTCATGTTCATGTTGAGCAGGCTGTGATTCTGTGTGCATTTTTTGAACGCTTTCAGGAGCACAAGGGTTCATTGTTGATCAAAGTACACCAGCTTATTCACTGACATTTTAACACAGTGACCTATTATGAGTCACTTGTCTAACTCGATTGGCCTGAGGGAAGAAGTTTTTTTTTTTCTACTTGAAAAACATCCAAGAATTTATATTTTTCAGAGTGGCAATGTGTTCTTGTTATAATAAATATAAATGTGACTCATTCAATGGTGTCTCTTGTTTTATTACTTTGTAACTGAGTCACACAAATGTGAAGAAAAAAAATAACAAATAAACAAGCACACAGCTGAAACCCAGTCACAATGTTTGATTAGTTCACATCTAATGCAAATTTATTCATTTAAACACTGTTATCAAAATGCATGTCTGATCCTAATTCTGAAAAGATGCTGGCTGTACATTACAGCACTGGTTTCATGAGGCTCGCGGTTTGTGTTTAAAAATAAATATTTTGTTAGTATTTATGCATGTAGCCACCCTGGAGGAAATCGTTGACTTTAGAGAAAGTCACACTACAAAACGAGAAAAGAAGCCATGGAAAGCTTGTGAGGTAGGATAATCCATGCAGAGAAATGTGGCAAAGTAATAAAAGCTCAGGATGAAACAAATTTTACATTTTATTGATTGAGAAGTAACCTGCATTTATTTCTAATCACTGCAATCAGTAGCTACTGATCATTTCTGCTTGGTTCCAGAGAAAGATGCTTGTGGTGTTTGTAACACTACCTTTTGTTTTTTTACACTGGCTTTAAGAGTCGTTATTTTAAACTTAATGGGTATAATGAACAAATCAATCACTTTTATGGATTAGACGTGCAAAGCATCACCATTTACTAACATTTTTACCAGCTGACATTCTGGAAAATCCTCTTATTCACTTTCCTACAGACAATTAGACGACAAGATCAATACTAAAACTATGTCTTTCCATTAAATGCAGAAGACAGCAAGCCTAATTTAGCACAGATTCGAGGCACATTGGGAAACCACTAGCACGGCTGTGTCACAAGTTCACAAAAATAGGATGTTATACAAGAAGCCTCGTATACAACGTGAGGTTTTTTAATAGAGCTATTGAAAGAAGGTGAAACAAGGGAGTGTATGAGATTTGTTCTATGACTCACTGGTTGATTTAGTTTGTGCATGCTTAGAATTACATGTAAAGTAAAAGCCTATTTCTTTCTCTACAGGTAGAGTCTAAAAAGATATACTCTCTAAGGAAAGAGAATTACGAGTCCCTTTCCGAGGGCTGTACATACTTGCCCTGTTTCTTCTAGACTTTAAGATCAAGAGACAGCTTGTATTTAATTCAATTCCGTTCAATTCAGTTGTATTTATATAGCGCCAAATCATAACAAAAGTTTCCTTAAAGTGCTTTATATTGTAAGGTAAAGACTGTACAATAATACAAGGAAAAAAGAGAAAAGCCCAACAATCATATGAGCCCCTATGAGCAAGTGATTTGGTGACAGTGGGAAGGAAAAACAAAATTTTAACAGGAAGAAACCTCCAGCAGAACCAGGCTCAGGGACCGGTTGGGGGTTAGGGGAGAAAGACAGGACAAAGACATGCAAGTATTATCAAAATACAAAAAAAAAGGAAAAAATTAGGTTAAATAGACACTAATGTTTAGAGTCAATAATAAAACAATACTTGCAGCTTCTGTATGAGCTTCTTTCTTCATGGTGTTTTACCAAGCTACCTACTACCAAACACTAGGCTTACATGATAAATTATTAACTGCCTTTTTCTGTCACCTAATAACAGTACAACAATTATTCTTTAGAAAAGAAAGATGTTTCAGTTGTTTAATCTCATTAAAAACGGCAGGGTTTTAAGTAAGCAATGACTGGCTGTGAAATTCTTATTTTTTTCTTTATGACTATTTGGAGCCGGTCTTATGACTTGGAGTTTGTAACGGTGTGTACTGAGAGATGCTGTTTTCAGATGACTTCTGGGTATGTACTGAGGTTTGGGCCTATAAAAAGCCAAATGTTACCAGCAGCGCCTTTAAACTGCAAACAAAGCAGTCTTTTATGTGCTTCCACAGCAGAAAGAGAAGTTTATGCTTTTCAGAGGCTTTAAGAGTAGTGCTTCATTGGATGATCAAAACAGTTTTATAGCCATCATCCTTGCGTCTTGTCTTCGCTAAGGTTTCTGGCCGTTCAGTTGTCTTCATTTTTTCTGTGTTCAGTTTTGGGTCTTGCCATTTAGACTTTTAGCCCTCAACATGAGTAAGTGTCACAGTGAACTGACTCAGAAGGAGCAGGAGATGCTGAAAATTCGGCGGGACAGCGACACAAAGGCGGCCGAACTTGTCAAGATGGAGAGGATGCTCCAGCAGACCAAGAATCTGCTGGACAAGAAGACAGAGTCTGGTTCGAAGAGCATGGGATACCAGGAGAACATGGGTGAGTGTTACAAACAAGGCTTTCTAACTTCATATTTTCACTTACAAAAATTCTCGCCGCTGATCGCAGTCAGTGACATCGTTTTATGTTGCTTGCCTCAGTGGAGGACCTGGAGGAAAAGGTGCGCTCCAGCAGACAATACAGGAGAAACTCCCTCCATCACACGCAGATGCTGGAGAGCCAGATGAAAACTGTGAAAGGTGAGCTGGTGGGCACCCTGGACCACCTTCAGGAGCTGAGGAATGTCCTACGGCGTTCACAGCAGAAGGCAGAAGAACGCAAGGCTGCAATGGAGAAGCTGGCTGCAGGGCTCAGGTGAAGAACCTTTGACCGCAATAAACCTGAAATCCTACATCCTGTCAGAAAGGCTGTGCAGAATTCACATCTAATGAGATGGCACCCAGTCACCAGTGAAACGATAGAGGAAGAAAGTCCTTTCACTGTGTTTTTCCCCATCTCAGCAGTGAGGCTGTAAATCTTCATCATTTGGACTTGAAACATGAATAAGTTTCAACTACTCTTCCTTCACTTTTTCATTAATCTCAGTAAGTCTCATAGTAATATAGTGAATTTAAAGCATCTGATTCTTTGTACCTTCTGAAAGTATTTGAAAGATGATTAACCATCGGTGTTTATGCGAACGGGAAAAACCCATTACACATGTCTTCATAGATATTAAATTATACATGTAGTTCTTCACATTACTAAGAAGTACCTTTTAAGCCTGATATATGGAGCTTAGGCTTGTATTAGATCCCTCATTTTAGAGGCAATGATGAGTCGTATTATCTCCTAGAAAGATGTCCTGAACTCTTCCACATTCATATGTTCCTCTTTGTATGAGAAGAAAAACTGTCAATGATATACAGTAAATCTTATATTTATCTTACATTTCTTTTAATCACATTTAATGAATATATCCCTGTTAACTAATAATATTTAGGTTGTTACTGAACTCAGAATTTGAATTTATTAATAAGTCAGTCATCACATTACTGAAGGTAGTATTATTGTTATTACTATTATTCACAACTTATTTGAATGAGAGTTCTTACTCAAACTATTATGAATTCTGCTATATATTAAAATGATAAACAGCACATAGATTTATATCTTTGTCTGAATAGTATAGAAAAAAATGTTTGTTGATGATTTATTGCACACAAATATAGAATCATGCTATTTAACTTTAAACATTTTGCCACAGATAGTCTGAAGAATTATAGGAACGACCCTGTTGTTAACAATGAGCCTTATCAACTGCACTGCACTCACTATGTTGAGTGCAATGCCGAAGTTTCCAGTGTTTCAACTCCCTCTGGGATCAATAGGCTGTTTCTGTCTGTTTCCTGTGGTGAGTCATCTGAAAGCTGTATTTGTGCCTTCCCTGTGGCTTGGATGTTTGCTAATTTAGTACAGCTTGTTTCACAAAGCATCACATGCTGTGCAGCCGAGAGGGGATTTCATATGCTGGTTTTACTTTTCTGATGTTGATGCTTTCTGCTTGATCGTAACTTCCTTCATACTTTTGTCCCGTGTAAAGTATGATTTTGATATTATGAACATTGCACAAATACATATGAATGAGTTTTTAGGTAAAGTGCTAAAAGTAGAACATTGAAGGTGATTTATGATGACCTAGAAAGTAAACAAACCCATATGAGGCCATAACATATTCACAGATCATCACACAATGTTCCTCACAGATTAATTTATCTGAACTGAATTACATAGAATTGGACTGTTTTCTGTTATTTCTCCCTTTCAACTGGTGCAGAAGTCTTTTTGAGACAGATATAGCAATGAGCCCACAGGGGACACTGGAGACTCAAGCTGCATCGTTCTTCCTCTCCTGCTTTAGACCACACATTAGGATTTGATTGCTTGTATTGTAATCAGTTTGACGCATTCAGAAATGTCTAGATAAGCTTTTGTCCAAAACAAAATAATAAACTGCTTTATAAATATTCTTCTCAGCCTGTGGCACAACATTCATTTCCTCCATCCATATGTTGAAATATGCTTGAAGTAGATTTATTGTGGTTTCTATATAGTACATCATAGCAAAGAAAATAGTTCTAGTAAAGGTAATGATCTTCTGTTGGCTTCTGACAGTGAGCGTGTCTCTGTTCTTGTCCTGTAGACCTCATTCAACTCATTCTCATCGCCATCTCTAAGCAGCATATCACATCACATTTGTGCAAATCAGTTGCATGCTGTGTGTTCAAATGTTTGTGCAGGTCGAGATATTTCTTTTATTTGTTCTGTGTCAGTGTTGGGGTGATTACTCAAAAAGTAATGTATAACACACAGAATATTTTTCTTACAGGTAATGCAATACGTTACAGTATTACTCACAGCAAAACGCAATTCATCATACTACTTGTACTTGCTTTCATGTTACTGTAAAATGACCTGAAAAGCAATTGTCTCATAATGAACAGTTAACAACATAAACCTATAGGCTACAGTCCTACACACTTATCCAGATACCAGTCCTCATGAGGACACATATTAGATCTTTCTCTTAGTATTTAGGTATGAATACAAAACCAACAGCACAAAGCAAAATGAAAACCAGTACAAAGAAACTTTAAACTACAGTGATTCTACTTTAGAAACATCAGCAACAGGTAGAAATGAAGCTTAACTGCTCATCAGTTTGTTACCTGTTTAAGTTCAGGATCTGGCAGCTGGACTGGGGTCAGCATTCACTCAGCTTTTACGTCACTCAGGGTTCTTGGCTAGCTTAGCATTAGCGTGCTGTCTATGCAGATGCTTGCAAAGAGCTGAAGTTGTGTTTGCAGCAGTTGTTTCTGCCCTGGATGCCGTTTCCAATCTACCATCACACTCTCATCCTTTTGTGCAATAAAAATAAAATTAATGTCCACATCCACACTGCAGAGTATGCCACTAAATCGAACCTAAATCAGCTGACTGTACCACGAGTGCAAGTGGAACAGATAAGCAGGATAGATAGACAAGCCAACTGACAGTTCAAGGACTTCAAATGCTGGGAACTGGTAAATTTTTTAACAGCGTTCCGCAGGGTTTTGTGCTGGGATAAATATTATTATTTTTATACATGCTAAGTTCATACTGTTAGAAAAGCATATCCAAATGAAACCCTGAACCCTCCCTTAGCCATGCTGCAATAGACTTAGGCTATTGAGAGAGCTTCCCATGATGCTCCGAGTGTTTGTGCTTCACTCACCTCTTGTCACTGTCTGTGTGTTTACTCTCCTTTTAATCTTTAGTTAATCATTTTCTTCCACAGTGTGAATTTTGTCCTGCCTCTCTCTGCTTTCTTCTCTTTTCCCCCATCCTCAGTTGGTCATGGCAGATGGCTGCCCCCCATTAAGCCTGGTTTTGCCAGACGTTTCTACCTGTTTAAACAGAGTTTCTCTTTCCCACTGTTACCTAGTGCTCACAGGGGGCTGTCTGATTCATCATTTTCATATTGGAGGGTCTATAGCTTACAATATAAAGTGAGGCAACTGTTGTAAAATTGGCACTATATATATATATATATATATATATAAAATCGAACTGACTTTAAGTAAACATTGTTAGAATTGTGGATGCTCATACTAAACAGGGTCAGAGTTTCAAATAATGATGTCAACATCAGACATCACTACCCATGAGTCACTCAAAACCTCAGGTTTCAGAATGCGTTAAACACGCAGAATAAGACGTCCTTTATACTGTTGGCTCTGTATGATGTCAGTGAGAATAAATCTTCTTAACATGGAAATGTGTGTAACAGATTTTTCTATATTGTCTTAAATTGGAAGAGAAGGGAGCAAAACCAGCTTGTTTCAAATGGTGGATGAACTGCAGTTACCCCCAACACAACCCCACTGATGTCACAGACCGCAATCAGCAGTTAATCGGTAACCTTTTTCCACACATTTTTATCAGACTGCAAACTGCATTTGTATATTTCTCGAGTTTACCACTGCAACCATTTTGCAATAAAGAAAAAGGCGCTAAAACACCTAATAGTGAAATTAATGATTTTGGTACATACTTTTGCACTTAGATAGGAAATGTAAACAAAAGCAGATAGTTTTGATGTTAAAAAATGTCCATGTTTTCCTTGAAATTTTTTTTTATATTTTTTCAACCATTTTTTGACCTTTGATTTTTTTTAAAATTTATATTAAAATAAGTTAGAAAGAAAACAATAATCAAGTATTTTTCACCTGTGTTTTCCACCAGCCAGCACAGTGGTACTGGAATTGTACAGTTATGCCCCCTGGTGGGTCATAGAGGCACTGTAGGAGGGCTGTGACCATGGTTAAATAGCATTATAATTCATGAAGTGAAAGTAAAATGAAAGTAAAGTGTAATTAGTGTGTGTTGATGCTATGAGTGGGATCTGTATTTCTGGGTTTTTAAGCTCATAAAAATGAACATACCAGAAAAACTTTCTGAAGCACTGGTGTAACACCTTCGATTCAGTTTGAAGCTTAAAGGTTTAAGGTCTTACCTAACTGTAAGACATTTTCATTAAAAGGAGGGCAGCGAAAGAACAGGTTAGCCCACTTGCCAACAATCCTCTTTGTTAAAGTCTAATTATCTGTCTGAACATTTCTGAAAGCACCACCTGTGCATTAGCCACAAGCATTATGAACTCCGTGGTATTCTTTTCACTCGACTGCTATAGTAGTCTGACTGTGTTGCATCATGAACCCACTAAATGATTGAGCAAACACTGGTGAAACATCAGTAGGCCTGATGAATGGTTTGGAATTGTTTGTGTGAACTGCTGATGCTAAGTTTACTGTATGCGCAGAAAAACATATTGTCTGCCAGAGCCGTGACAAATGTTCTTGTTATGACAGCTTTAAAACATTTACTCAAACCAAAAAATTGTAAAACAGGCAACACGACAATGAGTGTGGTGATCACAGCCCAGTTTTTTTTAAACCAACTCCTACAAACAGTTGTAGTGTCATAAGTTGAGGTTTGAGATAATCTTATTTCAGTCATCCTCAGCAAAGCAGTTCTTAGTTCAACATAATGAGGAAGTTGATCCATATTTGGATTCAGGAATTTTGGAAGGACTCATTGGCATAGTAAGATTACACATTTGCATTATAGCTTCACAAATACACATCAAACTGCGGTAGGCGTGGTTCATGGCACGACTACAGGGAGGCTGACACACCACACCACCACTGCCAATAAGAGCGAACTGTCCTGAAGGATGATGTTGTTGTTGGCGGTGATGTGTGATTGGCTGGCGGCTGGAAAGCTGCAGCTGTGTGTGTGAACAGCAACCGTAAAGAATAAAGTCAATAAAGTATGCTGAAAAGCATTGAATTGTGGACTGGTCTGCCGTGTGATGTTTACAGAAACTAAAAGAGAAAAAGTGATAGACATCTTATTGGTGTTTTCATGAAAATATCACAAGCTATTCCAGATCCATCCATCCATTTTTTTCAACTTATCCAGGGCCGCTGATCTGTCGATCTAATTCTCCCCTCTAACCTCACTTGTGAACAAGACCCTGAGATACTTAAACTCCTCCACTGGAGGCTGCAACTCGTTCCAGACCCACAGTGGGCACGCCACTCTTTTCTGACTAAGGACCATAGCCTCAGACTTGGAGGTGCTGATTCTCATTCCTGGCACTTCAGACTCAGCTGCTAATGCCTTAAGTGTGGCCTGGAGGCCACCACCCGATGAAGCCAATAGAACCACATCACCTCCAAAAAGCAGAGACGAGATTCTGAGACCACCAATGTAAAAGCCTTTTGCCACATGGCTACACCTAGAAATTCTGTCCATAAAAATTATTAACAGAATCTGTAACAAAGGACAGCCCTGGTGGAGTCAAACACCCAGTGGAAACGAGTTCAACTTATTGCCAGAAATGCAGACCAAGGTCTTGCAAAAGTTGCATAATGACTAAATGGCTTGTAGCCATGGGCCAGACACCTCAGAGTCCTGAATCGCCTGCCACAGACTACTCAGAGGGACACGGTCAACTGCCTTCTCCAAGTCCATAAAACACATGTAGAGTGGTTGGGCAAATTCCCATGCACTCTAAAATATCCTCGAGAGGGTAAAAGGAGGTAGAGCACTGCTTTCCCCCCTGAGTCGCCTGACAGTTTGCCAGAATTTCTTTGAGG